GACTCTTTTTAGCCACCGCCTCACTTGCTCTGATTGGCTCAGGAAGTTTTGCAGGGATCTGTGAATTCTGGGTGGATGAGAAGAAAAGCAAAGATAAGAAACTAAGCTCAGAGCATCGTTATAGCTTAAGAAAATGTTACCAAACAAACACTTAAGTAAACACACTTGAATTTCAAAGCAGCACCTACGTTTTAGTGGCTAATTCATTAGCATTTTTTAAGGATCCTATAGTCTACAATAATGACAAATACAAGCTACCCTTTTCATGTGTGAATGGAGGTGTGCCAATCATTCTTTATTTGCCTTGTCAGTGGACCTCAAACAAATTCATACCATTTTCCATCCAACTTAGAAGAGTGTGGACCAGTGTTAAGTTAGAAATGTTGGTGGACTTTTGTTTAGCAACACAGGTTTGTTTGATGTAGACTGATGTACTCAATAAAGCTTTAATAAAGCTCAATAAAGCTTTAATAAAGCCCAATAAAGCTTTAATAAAGCCCAATAAAGCTCAATATAGCTTTAATAAAGCTCAATAAAGCTCAATATAGCTTTAATAAAGCTCAATAAAGCTTTAGTGTAAAAATTCACTGTTCTGTTCTGATAAATGCCCTTTCATCCAACCACCACAGCGGCAGTGTAGTAAAGAGCTCAAGGCCATAAAGCTACACACTTGTACTGAGTGACTGACGGGCCGATGGCACTTTGTAGCCACACCGGCTCTAATGTGCCGACTCAATGCCTCCATTATACCATCAATACAAAACCCAGGGGGAGGGGCTGCTGGAGTGCAGCCAATTGGCAGCCGGCAGCAGAATCCTACTTCCTCTGACACTGTGAGGCAGCCCTTGCGATGTGTGCTGTACAGGGCTTGCATGAATTAAACAGTAGCTTTGGAAAAGGTGCTGGGTGGGTGGCTTTGGAGCACAACACCACAAACAACAAACAGCAGAGGAAGAAGAGAGAGCGCTGAATACGGTTCAGTAGGTTAATCCTGAGCAGTGATGCACTAAACTCTATTATTGTGGTCATCCACTATAGGATGTAAACGCATTTTCCTCTTTTGACTCCTCAAACCAGTCATGCTAGCGCAGTCTGAAGCCCAGCTGCTCGCACTGTATGTCACCAGGATGGAATGTATGATTGTATCCCTCTTGTTCAAATACAGCTGTAAAATGGTGTTTAAAGCAATCCTTTCAGCACAGCAGACCACACAAGACAATACTTGGGGCAGAAATGTGCATAAATCAACAAACAGCCATCAAGGCTGAACCTTGCAGAGTAACACTCGAGGTGCAGCCGCTGTTGCTGAAAATAGGAAATTATGTTTACTCTATGGAAATCACGTGCTCACACAATAAAAATGATGTTACTGAATCAATTAAGTAATAAATACATTTTGATTACACTTATTTTGATCACCCACACCGCTATAACTAAATGCATTGCTAATTAAATGATCAGAAAAAAATTTAAAAATGAGCAAAATAAGCAAATGTTATTGTTTTCAAAGAAAATAATGTGATTAATCACGTTTGAATTGTGACAGACCTAGTTTTAATGTACTTCTGAAGTAAAAGACATACACTGGACTTAACCGAGTTTTGTTCACAGTCATCAGTGAAATCAGTGAAAACCATGAAAATCAATTTTGCTGTGTGGCGGCAGAAGGTCTGAGAACTACTGACCACGATGGGGACTTCGCTCATGGTCATGCAGAAACTGTGAGAAATACTGCACAGAAACTTACATGGACATTCTGCACCGGGGAGTCTTTGCGTGCCAGCTTGAAGGCGAAATAAGACACCAGGTAGATATCTGGCCTTATGTCGGGGTCTGGCTCCAGCATGTAACCTGAAGGCAGGGGAAAAGCATTCAAATAAGGAAAAAAAGCAACACCGAAAGAAAGACACATGAACATTAAGTTGAGATTGCAGCCATGCTGTTGAAATTGAACATTGTGTTAAATGTGTCATTTAATATGTGAATTTAAAAAATATATTTTTATGAATCTGGCATTTTTATAAACAAATATTTATGCATTTTTGCATGTATCGGCTTAAACTCTAAAGGCCTGAATGTGACTGCAAACAAGTCCTCACTCTCTACATGACTTACATATTAGTTGCATAGTAGATACCAAATAATTGATAGAAGTTACAGAATAATAAGGCTAAAGATTAATAACTGAATAATAAACCTTGAAGTCTAAAGGGGTAAAGGCTAACCATTAACAATAAAATCACTCTGTGGCACATGGGCAGCACTCAACTGGTCGCTGGTTCAAACTGGATTGCGCGATCATGCATACATTAACAAAAAAAGCAAGGGAGTTGGTATCACCCAGTACTCAGCCAGCATAGGATATACTGATTAACTAACATCCCATGAAACAAAATGATTTTAATGTGGATACCAAAATTAAAGAATTCGTAATATTTCACTTCTCAGCTTTTTTCTTTCAATTTATAATCCAATGACAGGAAATGCTTAGTAGGTTTAA